TTAGAAAGTAACTGGGCAGGTGCCATGCTCCGGACGGGTACCATGCTCCGGACGGGTGCCATGCTCCGGACGGGTGCCATGCTCCGGACGGGTGCCTTGCTCCGGACGGGTGCCTTGCTCCGGACGGGTGCCTTGCTCCGGACGGGTACCTTGCTCCGGACGGGTGCCTTGCTCCGGACGGTTGTCATGCTCCGGACGGGTGCCATGCTCCGGACGGGTACCTTGCTCCGGACGGGTGCCTTGCTCCGGACGGGTGCCTTTCTCCGGACGGGTACCTTGCTCCGGACGGGTACCTTGCTCCGGACGGGTGCCTTGCTCCGGACGGTTGCCATGCTCCGGACGGGTGCCATGCTCCGGACGGGTACCTTGCTCCGGACGGGTACTTTGCTCCGGACGGGTGCCATGCCCCGGACGGTTGCCATGCTCCGGACGGGTGCCATGCTCCGGACGGGTGCCATGCTCCGGACGTGTACCTTGCTCCGGACGGGTGCCATGCTCCGGACGGGTACCTTGCTCCGGACGAGTGCCATGCTCCGGACGGGTGCCATGCTCCGGACGGGTGCCATGCTCCGGACTGGTGCCATGCTCCGGACGGGTGCCATGCTTCGGACGGGTGCCATGCTCCGGACGGGTGCCTTGCTCCGGACGGGTGCCTTGCTCCGGACGGGTGCCTTGCTCCAGACGGGTGCCATGCTCCGGACGGGTGCCATGCTCCGGACGGGTGCCATGCTCCGGACTGGTGCCATGCTCCGGACGGGTGCCATGCTTCGGACGGGTGCCATGCTCCGGACGGGTGCCTTGCTCCGGACGGGTGCCTTGCTCCAGACGGGTGCCATGCTTCGGACGGGTGTCATGCTCCGGACGGGTACCTTGCTCCGGACGAGTGCCATGCTCCGGACGGGTGCCATGCTCCGGACGGGTGCCATGCTCCGGACGGGTGCCATGCTCCGGACTGGTGCCATGCTCCGGACTGGTGCCATGCTTCGGACGGGTGCCATGCTCCGGACGGGTACCTTGCTCCGGACTGGTGCCATGCTCCGGACGGGTGCCATGCTCCGGACGGGTGCCATGCTCCGGACGGGTGCCATGCTCCGGACTGGTGCCATGCTCC